GAGAGAGAGAGAGAGAGAGAGAGAGAGAGAGAGAGAGAGCAGTCATTTCGTTTTTTTATCTGCTATGTATTTACTGAAGAAATAATATTGAAAATATATATGTATAACATTAAAATTGTATTTATATATTAATATTTAATTATGTTGACAATTATTGGATAATTATCGACTTATAGTATATCTACAGATATGCCATTTAGATTAGACATTTAATAATTTAAATACGTTTAAATAAAATTAAACTAATCTTTGTCATATCGAAAGTACAGCATATTCAAGATTAGCATTTACAAGTAAAAAGGTTGTCTTGAGGTTCTCAAGTAATTACTAAAACAGATAAAAATTAATGAGTTATATTATTGAAATAATAAATATATAGGTACAATGATACAAATAAAAATCAACGATCACAGTCGCTGGATTGGCATCCCATTACGTATCTACATATTTTGAAAGCAGCACAACTTAAAAAATACACAACTTATAAAATAACTCACATTCTTTGAAGTATAAAAATAACTTTTAATATCAATATCTGAGATGCTAGATAAATTTATAAACAATTCACACACGAATTACATACGTATGTACAGATATGCGCAATCTTCTATACGATATTACTTACTATAAAAAATTCGAAATCCATTTAAGATTTAAATACTATGTTAGAGGAACCCTCGCGTATGACTGCTATTTTGCAATCAAATGTCTTTATCTAATACGAAGTTATATACTATTGCAGAGTATCAATTTGAATCATTGAATCTAAATACAAAGTTATACAAAATGCGGCCCTATTTCTTTTTTGTAATTTTTTTATAATCTCTAAGACTAGGCTTCTTTATTTAATTTTTTAAATATTCTTTTTTTTTTCTTATTAACTGACAAAAGTTACTTTCATTATTTTCATGATACAAGACAAAATTATTCTTACAGTATAACATTCACGAAATAAAAATAATACGAAAGAACATGTCTCGAAAAAACATGAATTTGACACGAACAAGTATATAAAGACAAAAGAGAAAATTTTTTCCAATTTTGATCTATTTCTTACTGTATATTAAATTATTTTTGAAAGAATTATTTTTGAAAAATAAATATAATTCAAAAAATCAATGCTATTGAATATAGTATTGAATATAGTTAAAGAAGAAGCGTAGTGAGAATACTTTTGAATACATATTTTGAGTATACAATTGAAATAATGTGTAATAAGCAAACAAATTACTTTATCGGTGATTTGATTAATAATTTTCCATTATCTATAATCAAGTTACATAATTATGTATTTAGTTGCTAATAGTAATTATACTAATTTTCACTTCTATGCACCTTCGCTTAGATACAGAAATCATTCATTGCGAGCAGTGACATGAACTCAGTCAGCAAAAGCATGTGTACTTGACAATCTTCTCTAGTAAATCGTGTTCATGTCTAAATGCAGCTTATACGTGTCTTGTAGTTAACTTTAATTGGCACACGCAAGTTAAAAGTTTTCATGAATTGCATTTCTGAATTGCTTCTATTTGAGCAATATTTTGAGCTGAATATGAGAGTAGCTCGAGCACTGTAATGGAGGGAAACTTTGCTTACGCGTAATTACGTTTCACGCGCACAGGTCACAAACTCACGTGTATCGTATTTGGATAATAAAATTTGGCACTAACAACTGTTCACTTATTATAGTATAACTCTCGCAAATGTTGAGATTTTTTATTCAATGGTCGATAGTGATACTGCGAACAATGCATGGAGAACATTTTCAAATTTGCATTGCAGTATTTATAATCTAGTATGCTTACCAATTTCATTGGTTACGTCGAGAGAAGCATTTTTTAACGCGTTCAATTTCTCCACATAGCTATTATCTAGGTGTAGCTTTCCTCTATCATCGATGCATCCTTGAGGAGAAGTTATTTTTTCGACACTATCGGGAATAGACATTACAGAGGAAAGAGTGGCATTCGTGACGTCTGTATCGTTTTTATTCCCAAGACGAATGTTGCTGACGTAGAGCCTCCGTTTTCCAGGAAATAATCCCGCTATCTTCCGTGCTGTAGGATGCAGCAAGTGCTCTTCGTATTTGTCAGCTTCGGCATCGGCAGTAATTAAACTTACAATGATACCAACGCCGACGGTCGTTATGCTACCGATAAGAGCGTAATACATATAGGTGATCCCGTAAAGAACATTTAAAGGATCAGATGATTCATTGGTTACGTTGACAGATGATGGCGTAATGTTTTTCGGCATTGTTGTCCAGTTAGTAACGTTTGATACATAATACTCTAGACTAATTGGTCTGACGACCCATGAGGAAAACGTCTCATTGTCGCAATTCTCTGTCGATAGGGGTAGCATCTCAGGTACGTTACCCTGATTGAGGTGACCGTAAGTGATCCACATCGTTGTTATATGACTAAAAATCATACCAGCGGCGGCACCTTTCCAATTAGCACAAGGTATCAACAGAGCGAGGAGAAATACACCAAGAAGAGGTCCGGATGTTGCTGACGTCATTAGCATAGAAGATTCTATTACGCCAGATAACATGGCTACCAAGAAACTAATGCCAATTATTATCAAACCATAAATAACACCGATTATTTTGATCGCGTGAAGCTGTTGCGTGTCTTTCATATCACTCAATGCAGGTATGTGACTCAGGAAATCTTCGAAAGTCACCGTCGCAAGGGAATTGAGATTAGATACCGCCAAAGTCAAGGCGCTATTGAAAAGAGTTGCCATGACTAGACCAAGCATTCCGGGTACTTTTGAGAATTTATCTTCGACGTAGAATGGTACAATCTCGTCAATCTTCGAAATATATCCCAAACTAAGTGGATCACAGTCGGCGTAATTAGCAAAAATCACCATTCCAACGATCCAAGCTAACGAGAACAAGATTGTGATTATGGGTATGTTGGCCATCATCGTTCTGAAAATAAAAATATTTTTTTATTACAAAAAAATCGAAGATTAAAATATTAAATTATTCTAAAAATTATAAATAAAAATTGATACAACAATATTGAGCCCAAGATAGTATTAAAATATATTAAAATATATTAAAAATTATGCAAGGAGATTGTTTATGTTGTTACATAAATGCAATTTAAAAAAAAATTAATATATCTATATAATAAATTAATATATGTTATATAATTGTTATTTGCGTCCATGCTATAAGTTTTTTAAACAAGTTTTTTTTTCTTTTAATGCATGCAATAAACTTTTATATTCGCTTTATGCTCTCGGTATGTGCAATGATTGAAATGAATTTTGTATTTGTTTACATAGTAGTACTTTATTTAATATAATTGACCGATAATACAAAAACCACGATAGTAAGTTGTTGTAATTGACTGACGCGAAATTAAATGTTTCACAAAAAACGGATTTAAAAAAAAAATGACATATGCGTACATCCATCGGATGTAAAGTAGTCAATATATATTTGCATTTACCCAACATACATTGTGGAATACTTATTGTTTTTCTAATAATTGTAAATATTCTAAATTGTTTTATATTATTTTAATATAGTAAAGTTTGAATTTTATTCAAAAGAATTATTATTTATTTATTTTTATTTGTTAATTATTCTAATCTTACAAAATATGAGACATTGCAATAAGTTCTATATGTATATTCTAGACATACATTTAAAATGCAATATTTAAAACAGTTTTGATGCAAATACATAAGAATAATGTATGTATATATGCAGATAATATTTATACTAGATTTTCTGTAAGATTAACACAATAACGCGCGACAGTATTATGCACGTCGGAAAAACTGTTACGTAAACATAAATAAAAGCGGAGAGTAATGAATAATTAATGAAAGAAGCTTGAGACATGTGCAGATGACATTTGTATAACGTTTGTTTGTATTGTTTTCTCAACTTTTCGAGATAATGGAATCCGTTTAAATATTTAATTTTTTAAGAATAAGAAAAAATAAAAAAAACTCAAGGAAAATAAGATAAATGAGTGAATTATTAAGTATAAAACAAAAACAATACAGATTGAAATACAGCAGATACTTGTGATTTGCATTAACGCACGTGGCAATTATAATAAATCACTTATAATGTATCTCGATGTTAAAATGCCTGTCAAGGAAAGAAAGAAATCTGAAAGAATATCAAATATAATCGCTTGTGCAGCATAATGCATGACATTAATATATATCAATATGGGTAAATCCCATAACAACATAAATTTTTAATTAACTGACAATAACGATGCAGTTATTCATTATAATTTTATAATGTTGAATAATTTGTAGTAATCTGTAATAACAAATAATGAAGAATTTAATGCATCATTCCGGAATAGTTTTGTTTTTTCATTTTCAGCGAGATATAATATTTATTCAGTTAATTTAAATGTACAGAGAAGATTTTATTTTAACGAACGGCTGTTGCACCGATATTATAGACCTCTTATTGAATAGTGAGAATATCTATACTAAAAGTTTGGCGCAACGCCATTTGGTTCCCTACGGAGCTCATTGATTATGTGATAATAGTAACTGTGGGCACAATTTCCTTAAATCGGTTTAATCGTGCCACTTTCCAGAAACAATTTCTATCTCTGACACTACGAGCATGGAAAATTATCGATGTAAAGTTTATTAATTTATTGTCACAATCTGAGAAATTCACTTTATAGTTCCTGACATATTAATCACATTTACAAGAATAGAAATACCATGTAAAGTACATAATTATATTATTAGTATACAACAATTATATGAAAATTGTCTTTTGTAAACAATTTTATATAACCCTCTTTATTTTTAATTTGTTATCATAATATAAATAGAGATTTAAGAAAAAAGTTATTAAAAAACAAAGTCTTATTAACAGTATATAAATACATGTAATATTCCAAACTGATTTCAAATATTCATTTCATTATATTTCGAAAATATGTATAGTGAAAGAAAATTTTTAATGACAATAAAATTTTATTTGATCTCTAAATTTTTATCGAAATGTCGAGAATTTTATAAGCATGTCGCTAGATCAATTATACGCTTAATTTTTGTTAATTTTTGTTCATGAAAATATCTACGTAAATTCCTCTGACGATACATTTGCGAGTAATAAAATTTTACGGATCAACGGTAAAGTATTTGTTCCACGCGGTATTTCAGTTTGAGTGCGGTGGCACCGCAGCAAATTTGTGACCGTGAGCTTTTATACGTTTTCGATTGCCATCAGATATTGGACTAGAAAAATGTACGGTTTTACGTTGACTACTGTGTATACGCCTCAATGTTTCGCCACGGTTATAATTATGCGAGTGTGCAAACTACTTCAAGTGTGCAAACAGCTGCATTTATACGATATAAATGGAATAAGTCTCAAATAAAAAAGAACAAATGAAATTGATAGATAAAAAGAAACGTTTTCTTAAGGCTAAATATAGTATACATGAACGAAAATACTTGAATTTAATTTTACGTTGAAGAATGTGCTCATATATTATGAAAATAATATGACGTTTTGCATGCTTCCAAATTTTTTTTTTAAAAGAATTGAAGAATTTCTTCTTGATATAGTTTTAGTTTAAAAAATTTATTTTTTATTAAATCAATAAAACTTGCAAATTTTTAGTTAATAGTTTTAATCAAGTTTTTACTTCTGTCCAAGGTGTCCAAATAATTGAAATCACGACATTACATTAAAATCTTAAATAAATGTCAGAAAACATCAGACTGATACTATTAAAATGATATATGACTTTCTTTTTTTGTCATAATTTTATTAAAACATTAATTAAAATGATAAATTATGTTTATTTATTGATAAAAATCTTTTACAGACGCAGTATGAAAAAATATGCAGCACTGTAAAATGATGTATGACTATTATCCTATTATTACATTTTTCGGATTTATTTTTTAAACTGTATCTTTTATTTATATTAGTAGAATTTTGTATTAAAATGTTATGATTTAATATTCTTAAAATACAGTTTCATTCTCAAAATAAAAAATTTATTACTGGTATCTTTTTTTATTAAAGCAATTTTGTGCTTTATATGTACGCAGTCATATTCAAGTTTCATTTATTGTATGTTTTAAATGTGTAAAGTGATAATTCGTGGAACACTTTGCATAAATCATATTATTCTTTAAGCTTTTCGACGAGCTTTCGTTAAGCTTGTGCACAATGTGTCGTACAAGTCTGTCATTGTACGCTAAAAGTGTGGATAGAGAATTTGTTCAAAGTTTTGAATCCAGATAAACAATTTACTTACTTGACAACCTTCTTATGACTGGACATACTGCAATATCTCTGGACAAAATTCTGCTGACATCCAAAAATAGATAAACTCATGAAGAGCTGTCCTATTGTCGCCGATGTCGTCGTTACTCGAAGATGTGGATCCATATCAAAACTGAAGAAAGAATTAATTATTAAATAATAAAAAGTATCGCGATTTTATTATAAGATACACTTAAAATAAAATTTTAAGATATTAAACGTTGTTTTAAAAAAATACTCAATTATTTAAATTCTTTCTCAATTTTAAAAAAGGGTGAATATGTTATTGTCTCCCCAAAATTTCAAAGATGTAGAAAATGCATAGCCTGTGAAATAATTTTGCGCCGCTGCGGAATTTAATAATTTTAAATTGTGAAATGCGTAGCGAAGAATTTTAATATAAAATTGCATTTTAACATTATTCAATTTACTGACAGTTGGAATTGTATATTTTCACCGAGATAATAATTCTAAAGTTCAGAGAGACGAAATGCGAAGCTACACAACAGGAATTCCGTACATGATTTATTTTAAGCGTGAATTAATATCAAAATTACATCTAATTAATGTTAATATGAATTATCAGTGTAACATACTTAAAAAAATCCAGTCGACCACGTTCCTGAGTTACATTGAAGACGTTAACTGGTCCACCAATATTAACAGTTCCGTGTATAATGATTATCACGGATACACCAATCATTGTCAAACCTTGTATAACATCCGACAGAATAGCGGCTTTTAAACCTCCCTGAAAAGCGAACATAAATAAATATTAAGTATTTGTGAAATAATACAATTTATTACTGAGTAACTAGTATATATAATGTATTCTTAAATGAGGAAATTAATGTACTTACGAGGTTATTTAATTTTAGAAATTTTAATTGTGCTAAACGATTCACGTAAAAAAGTAATCTACAATAATTCGAAATATGTATTTGTTATAACAAATATTATATTCTACACGTTAATGTTCCATTATTTCAGAGATTAATATTAAAAGTTATACGGTTTTCATTATTTTTTTATAATAACATTGTTTGCTGCTGTTATTCGCTCAATGCGTCCTGTTTATATACGTGCTTGATTGTTCCAATTTCCTACGGGACGAATATAAGTAATTTACCACTAGAATGTAATTTTACATTGCACGCGGAAAATTCACGTTTATTAAAATTATATTGTAGTTTTACTCTTCATTTAAATTCGAAATATTGAACTTTCTGAAAATTGCTTCCATAGAAACCATCGCAAATTGACTTTTCCACAAAGATTGAAATCAATATAATTTTAGATAAATGGATGTCAATTACAGAATGCAACATTATTTGTTAATATAATTTGTATGCTATAACAAAAGATAATAATTTTTAAATTTTTTCGTATATTTACAAATAAATATAAAAGACATTTGTTATATTTTTTTGCATATATTGTGATTTCAATTTATGCATGAAAAATCTCAATGATTGGTTGATTATTCAATTTTAATTTCTAAATAAAATGTTGAACAAGAAAATTGAAAGAGAATATGTATTTGGTATTTAAAAATTATGAATGAACATCGATATTTATGAAACAAGTATATGACATAATATACGTATTCTTACTATAATCGTGAAAACCACAGAAATACTTGTTATTCCCACGATACTAGCCCAATACGGAAGTCCTATTACTGCTTTCAACGCGACGCAAGGGGTGAATACTGTGACTCCCAAGTTTAGCAGACTCCTTACGACGTAAGAGAAACTCGCCAGACATCTGACTAGTTTTGACTTGAATCTGGGAAATTTACATAATTAAGATAGATTAAATGAATAATTTGACGCATTTATCTTCGTGCTTTGAAATACAATCGTTATACGTAACGTTCTTCACGTCAAAGTAACAATTATTTAAGTTTAAAGTGTTCTATATTGAATATATTAATAACCGATATATGTATAAAAACAATTTTTTTCTAGGACCTCTATTATTTTAATTCTTCTGTTAATGTACACTTTATTTAGTGCTTTAGTTTTACTACGAGATTGTAATATACTTATATTAAGGGTCCAATTTTTTGCTGTTGCAGTCTGAATATTTATTAATAATTCTAAATATTCTTCTTTTTTTTTTCAATCTAAAATTAATCGAGATTATAATTTTCTAATAGTGAATATGTGATGTACAAGTTTTGGCTAATAATAATACTTAAAAAACATTTTTCTAACTAGATGTTATATATGTATAACATCTTTTTATTTTACAAAAAATATATTCGCGATAACTCTTCTATATTAATAACACTTTTTACAAATATTATGAATT